GCTCCGGAAGAGTTTACGGCTGGGGGCAGGACGCAAGGCCTTGCAGAGCCCTCTGGCCATTCCCAGGACCAGCAAAGTCAGAATAAATTATGCAGAATAGTAAAGAAGGACAGAATGAATTATGCAAAACCAGAGAAATTATGGACACCTGCATAATTCACAGATAGGGCTGGACTCAGCTCTTCTTAGTACAGGTTTTAGATTACCTTGACAAAAAACCGCAATTTTTTTGTGTGTTACACACAGCTCGGATCTAAATCTTCCCCTACCAATATCATTTCTGTCTGTGATTTCAGGAACATTCTGCCAGAAATGTTTAAGTATATTTTTATTACCCGGAAGAGCCAGCCCTGTCCGAAGACGTTTCCGTGGTCATGTGGCCGGGTCTTGAACTGCTGAACTACTGACCTTCCGGTCGGCAGTTTGGCATCTTAACCACTGAGCCACCACAGCCCTGGACTTGGGCTGCCATCCCATTCCCTCTAGGAATTGCCAAAACTCTTACATGTTACCAATATTTCCAGCAATTCCTGGAGAGGCATGACAGCGTGCCATTGCTTACAACCACTCCCCCCATGCCCACCTCATCGCCCACTGGTTGCCAGGTGAGGCCTGGCAACCGTAGGCTGGCCAGCATGGGTGGAGCCCCAGGTTTTAAATAAAAAGATGTCAGGGAAGAAAAGAGGCAGAGACCGAGAGGAAGAGGAAGAGGAAGGCAAGCTGGCTGGGAAAGGCGAAGAAGGCACAGGGGGAGGAAGGAAGGAAGGAAGGAAGGAAGGAAGGAAGGAAGGAAGGAAGGAAGGAAGGAAGGAGAACCTAGAGGAGGAGCCGTGGCCATGGGCAAGACAAGACAACCAGACCTGGTCAGACCTGGTGAACTGACCCACGGCAGAGGCACAGCTCAGACGACTAAGCTTTTAAAGGGTCAGAGCAAGCAGGTGAAGCCAACCGCACCTGTGTGAAGACTGGCTGGGATTTGGTTTGTGGCAACAAAGGGGACCTACTGAGACTGGGTGGGTCTCTGCCTACCATGAAAGAAACTTAAGTCATCCCACTGGTCCCCAGCTGGGCCACTGGTCCTTTCCACACTTGGATCTCATCCCTGGTTTTATCAGAGTTCAACTCGCAACACGATACCTTGCATTTATCCCTGGTTGTAACAGCATCTGTTTATCCCGAGACAAGCGTGGGGCAAAACCAGGGTGAACTCAATGTAACGTGAAAACCAAAAATACACCGAGATAATTACAGGGGTGAACTCGAGTGTAGTGTAGAATGTAAGTTTGGGGACAGGACTGAACCACGATTGAAGGTCTAGTGTGGAAAGGACCACTGTCAGACCCTGGTCCAGTTATACTCAACAACTCTCTCTTTGGCAGTGATAAGTTTATTAGAGTATATGCGAGATCCAGAAAGTCACTGCGTCAGAACTAAAGACTTGGCAGGCACAAGCTTAATATAGTAAATTCAAAGAAAAGCCCCTTCCCCTTCTCCAAGAACATGTCACACGCATACCACGCCTGGTGTTGCCATCCCAACCAAGAGAAAAATATATGGCTTGGTTATCTATATTCGAGGATGGCACAGAGAGACTCTCGACTCGCACCACCCCACTCCCCTAAGGAATCCTCCTGAATTCTCTGGAACCTGTTGTACATGCTGAAAGCTGGGCGATGTTCTTGGCTGTGCCATTATTCCCCAGAGGTCCAATCTGCATTAGTCCTTCCCACCGTTGTGCCAACAATCCCACATCATCTCACAAATTTCTGTCTGCATTTCATGCCACATCTGCTCTCCTATTGTTTCGTCTCATCATCAGCTGTCTGCATTGTTTTATTGCCATTTATTTATATTTATTTATTTATTAGGCTTCTATCCTTCTAGCCCTTCCACATAGGATCAGGGCGGCTAAGAAGAGGCAAAGGCCATACAGAACAATAAAACCAGGTAAAACAATCAAATTACATTTGACATTTAAAATCGGTGCTCACAACCAGGGCTCTAGTCGGGGGGGAGCTCTCAGGTACGGAGCTCCGGAAGAGAACCTCTAGGGGGCGGGGCGGTCACGTGGTGAAGCCCCGCCCCCTTCTTTACCCCGCCCTCTGCTTCGATCCTCATTCCGTTTGGGAATGAGGATGAAGCAGGAGGATAAGTAGCCGGGCCTTCTGACACACTTCCGGTGATGTCAGGGGGTGTGGCCTTCTGTCACTTCCGGTGATGTCAGGGGGCGTGGCATATGCAAATAAGTTATGCTAATGAGTTATGCTAATGAGCTCCGGCAGCTCTTTTTCTACAACAAGACCCCTGCTCACAACAATATATCATCCGAGACGGGGACTCCAATGCAATGTTTCAGGGAGCACTACTGTCTCTTCTTGATCGGTCTTCACTCTGTCCGTTCTCCATTCCCAAGGCCAGTTCACGTTGCCAAAATGGCAACGCGGTGGTGGTACAGTGACGGTGGCGGCTCCTACTCGAAAGCCTGGCGGAAGAGCTCCGTCTTGCAGGCCCTGCGGGACTGCACAAGGTCCCGCAGTGCCCTGATCTCCTCCGGGAGCTCGTTCCACCAGGTAAGAGCCGCCACCGAAAAAGCCCTGGCCCTGGTCGCAGCATATTTAACCTCTCTCGGGGCTGGGACAACCAGAAGATGTTTTGCCCCAGACCGCAGTGCCCTTGGGGGAACATATGGGGTTTAAAAAAGGTTTAAAAAAGCCATCAGCTCTGCTCCAAAATCACCCCCTATCCCCCCCCCACACGGCTTTTTAATACTGCAGGAACTCCATTCACAGCTCTCCCCCTATCTCATCTGACTTGGCCCCAAAGTTTGCCCCATGAGGTCAAAGCTGAAGGCAAGATGTGAATTAGCTCAGTACTTGTTCTGTGTACTATGCTCACCCAGCTCTCAATTATTATCCTTTTGTTTCAGACATGAAAAGAGAAAGCAGGGCAAGGTGCAGATGAAAGGCCTTATGGAATGCCCATCTAGAACATGTACAGGACATTGTGCAATGATCTGTGTCTGTTAAAGGTACCAAGCGTGAGGCGATACACGACTTTCCAGCATTGCCAGTCACAGATTACACAAAAGATGACTGTAGAAGAACACTTACCCTTAGAAAGTCCGCCATCTTGCCTGTAATATATGCCACAGTTCACCTCTGCAGCCGGAGAGATCTACCCTGCAGCTTTACAGAGGCCTTCTCATAACTGTATCCGTAAAACAAGGGCTCATTGGAAAAGGGTAAGAGTACGCTAGAGAGTTTTTACTCACAGGCACAGTTGAAAGGAGCCGTTGAAATTCATCTCTGGATACAGTTTGGCACTTGGTGATTAAGATACAAGATTCTCGGACAACAATCTTGAGAATGTAGTGCAAAAGTTCATCGTTTAGTCTTTAAAATGCAGGAGAGACATGGTAAAAATGAATAAAGTACAAGAAAACATATGGAAATTGCAGTGCACTAAACATTACAGTAGTGTAACATTGATTTGCATCTTTTTACTTACATAACTTTCATTGGCAGGATTCAAAGAACTGTGCAGTCAGTTCCATATGCCCAATGAGGCTCTGGGCTTATCTTAAATAGCAACCCTCTTTTCTCAAATTCTCACAAACCCCAAGAAATATGGAATTTCAAAAGCAGATTATGATATGGCATGGGGGTGTGTGTCTGCTGTTCAAATCCCACCAGTAGACACAAGTACTTGAAGGCATCTACATTTGCTCATTGTTTGGATCCTGACCTCACTGTGTACTTTCCTAGAAATCTCTTCTAGGCAAATGAACATAAATCCTAGCAGATGGCCCAATTCTCGTGCAAACGAAATTTCCGGCAAACTGGAATCTGTGCTGTTTATAATTTCTAAGGTTGGTGCTATTGCAAATAACTGCCATGCACCAGAAAGTTGCATGGAATGAAATTACACATTAACAATAATTTATGCCCTGAGATGACTTCAGGAAAATTGCTCTCTCACAGTTCCAAGCATCTCTTTGGTTCTTCTGGTATTTTTGAGAATGAGGATTCAATCTTTTTTTTTTTTTTTTTTTTAAGGAACCTGAAGGCAAACTGGCTGACTCCTTGGTCCATCCAGCAGTGTTCTGCTACCTTGTCTACCAATATTTTGACAATTACTTTTAAATGTCAATCGTTTGTCTTCATGGAGAATGGGTCTACTCATGAAGATCAGGCAAAGTCTTGACGGACTGCTCCCCTGGTGTACAAGATGCCACGTGCGAGTTACCTGTAATGCTCATCGTCTTCACTGCCAAATCTGTTGTTCTGAAGCTGCTCAGCTAAGTTAGTCATGATCACATCTCGAAGTTGGGCCAGCCCGCTATTCCGATCCCCTACAGTGGATAAATTGTGGGGCCACTGGTTATGCAAGCAAAGCTTGGGCTACACAGCCAGATTAATGTGCAAAGTATGCTGAGTAAAGTCAGTTCTCAGTTTCCATACGGACTTTCCTTCCAGCGTCATTGAAAGCTCTCTTACCTTCCGTTAAGACCAGCTTAAGCAAGTTATTAATTTCTACTTCTCCAGGATACAGGATATTTAGACCAGAGCTTAAGGGGGGAGAAATGGATAAAGAACGTTTAGTATTTGCTTACAGAAAATAAGAGGAAGGTATCTTTTAAAAAACACATATTATACTGCCAAGGCTTATAGATAATTTTATTTGGAGCCAAAAGAAAACTAGGACTGGGGGCTCCACAGCTGCATCTCAATTACTCAGCAGCATCACAATATGGAAATGTTTTTTACACATTTTAGGGAACAAGGTAAAACATGGCTCAATATAGAAGAATCCTATTGAAGCCAGTATTATTTTAGAAGAGATTATTTGGATGCAACATCAGCCTTGTCCTAAAGAAATATTAAATAATCCTCTTCTAACTGTTACTCTTAAATCTGGGATGAATGGCACTCTAAATTGGCTCCAGGCAACAGATTTCCTTTCCAGGTTGGAGAATAATCAGTCCACAAAGTTTAAACAATATATCAAAAAGGGTGTCAAAACAAAGCAAAGCAATTTGTTTGCATGCACACAAAATCTTATACCCAGAATTAAACTTTGTTGGTCATAAAAGTGCCACAGGATGCAAATTTTGTTCTGTTACTTCAGACCAACATAGCTACCTACTTGAATCTACAGAAATCTTTTTATAAGATATAAAACATTAGAACATCTCTGCTTCTACAATTAAAGGAATAAACAAGGGCACATTTTGTTCTCTCCACTGACTTGTTTGGTGCTGCTTCTCGCACTACAGGCAAGGGAATCTTCACCCAAAGAGTGATTAACACATGGAACTCACTGCCACAGGAAGTGGTGGCGGCTACAAGCATGGACGGCTTCAAAAGGGAATTAGATAAGCATGGAGCAGAGGTCCATCAGTGGCTATTAGCCACAAGGTATAGATAGGGGCTCTGGGGCAAGTGATGCTCTGTCTTCCTGGTGCTTGGGGGGGGGCAACAGTGGGAGGGCTTCTAATGTCCTGGCCCCACTGGTGGACCTCCTGATGGCACCTGGTATTTCTGGCCACTGTATGACACAGAGTGTTGGACTAGATGGGCCTTTGGCCTGATCCAACATTGGCGTCTCTTATGTTCTTATGTTCTAATCAGATTTATATTCAGAGTCATGTGTTTTAACTGATGCCTTGGCTTTTGGTATTTGTAGCAACATTTGTTACTCCTAAAACACTTAACAATCCTTAATGTTCACAACCACCACCCAGTGAGGTAGGTCACCCCTGTTTCAGAGAAGAAGATCTGAGGCTGAAGAGCTGAAACTGGACTGAGGCCATGCAGCGAGTCCATAGCTAAGGAGGAATTTTAGCTCAGGTCTCTCAACCTAAGCTTAAAATCCACCCCGTGGAGCAACACTGGCTGGTTCTGTTCTGCATATAATTACATTTACAACCCAGCTTTTTTCAGTGGAATTCAAGGGGGCATCATATGCAGAAGTTTCCAGGCCCGTGCCCAAATGGGAGACTGGACCCAGACGTGCTAAGATTCAGAAAACTGCTGCATTATGGGCCTCCCTTAAAAATGTTAACCTGAACAATGTGACAGGCATGCCTGCCCTCTATATAGCTTTGTGGTCGATCGTTAGTACAAATCACAGACTCCTCAGATTAATTCGAGTAATATGTATTACTTATCAGAACGCACCTGATGGCTAGACAGACCTCCTTCTGAATTTCAGAGCTGATCTGGTCTGCTGGTGCCATCAGTAACTGCCAAAGCAAGAGGCCAGATCGCCTCACAGTGTCGCGATTCTTCTCTGTTTGGGGGCTGAAGAAAAATTTAAAAACCACCTGCAAGACAATCGTTTGAGGAAAAATGCTCATGTTGGAAATGCCAGCTACAAATCAGCAATGATAAGTTACTCATTAAAAGAACACAGAGTGATTTGCATCCTGGGAGAACTGGGTTCAAGTCCCTATTTCTACTACAGAAGATCACTGGGTGATCTTGGGCCTATCACAGTCCACAAACACACACACACACACACACACACACATTTTTACCCTGACCTGCAGGGCTCGCCCTGGCTAGTATTTGGATGGGAGACCTCCAAGGGATACCAGGGCCATGACCAAGGTTTATAAGACTATGCATGGGATAGAGCAGGTAGAGAAAGAGGTACTTTCCTCCCTTTCTCACAATACAAGAACTCGTGGGCATTCCATGAAATTGCTAAGCAGTCGGGTTAGAACAGATAAAAGGAAGTACTTCTTCACCCAGAGAGTGATGAACACGTGGAATTCATTGCCACAGGAAGTGGTGGCGGCTACAAGCATGGACGGCTTCAAGAGGGAATTGGATAAACATATGGAGCAGAGGTCCATTAGTGGCTATTAGCCACAAGGTATAGATAGGAACTCTCAGGCTGGGGCAAGGGATGCTCTGTATCCTTGGTGCTTTTTTTGGGGGGGGGGGGCAACAGTGGGAGGGCTTCTAGTGTCCTGGCCCCACTGCTGGACCTCCTGATGGCACCTGGTATCTTTGGCTACTGTGTGACACAGAGTGTTGGACTAGATGGGCCATTGGCCTGATCCAACATTGGCTTCTCTGATGTCCTTATGCAGAGGTAGGCAATGGCAAAACCACCCTCTGAACTTCTCATGCCTTGAAAACCCCAGCGGAGTCACCATAAGTCAGCTGTGATCTGACGGCACTTTTCACCAGCACCGCCAGACAGGTTTAGGGGAGATGGGTTTCCCTGTGGTGTATGAGTAGTGGTCACTGTTGGAAACAAGACACTGGAAAAGGAG